GGCACGTTGATGAGCGGAGCCTGGGGACAGCACTTGAAGCTCCAGGAAGTAGATTTCTCAATCACCCAATTAGGAACAGAGATGACTGATCTGGGCAATCAATGTGGCTCTTCACTTTTCCTCCGCATCACTATGAATTACAAATCTACATTTGGGCACGGAGATTATGGAAAGGAACTTCAAAAAGCAAAGAGCTGTAGACTGTCAGAGCCAAAAAGTTAGACATAACTATTTATTTGCAGTTGCATTTTGACAGTTTTACACAGAAGAGAATTCTCCATGAATACCTTATAGCCTGTCATTGTGTGCTCCCCAATAGTTAAGTAAGATGATTTTCTAGCTCTAAATTTCTAATCACCAGGAAAAAGACTCATCTGAGCCTCCTTATATGATGAAGCAAGAATTGCTCCAGCATATTCTTGTTTCCTGTTGCCTATCAGACTGAGTTTCTTTAATATAAGCCAACTGTCTTCCCCCCAATTCAGCCACAGTTGACATCAGGGAAATTGCGCCATGAGAATTTTTTTTTTAAAATCTAGCAGTTAACCGATGTTGCTGCAATCTCAAACTCCAAGAGTGTTATAGTTCACCAGGGCATGCTTGAAACTATAAACAAAATATTAGAACAAGAAGATGATTGTACCTAGGAGCCTGAATGCTTAGATGGGCTTCAGCTAATCAGCTGTGCTGTCACATGACCTTGACAGAGTTCCTTGAACTCATTTCCCTCAATGGTCAAGTGGCCATAATGGTCTGCTACTTGCTTATCTTGTAAGGCCCACGGTGAGAGGAAATCTCCTCATGAATGCCGAACAGGAGAGAAGCAGCCACCCAGATTAGCACACAGGCACTGGCAGCGAACAGATTTGGGGGGACAGATCCTGGTTACGGCATTTCACAGCTATGTTACTTTCTGTAACCACTCGGCAGTGTCAGCGTTGGTTTCCTCATGAAAAATAGCGGTACTACTTAGTACCTATCTTAGAGAGTCATGGCGAAGAGTAAATGAAACCAGATATGTGTAATGCTAAGTGTAGTGCTTGGGAGATGATCAAATTTCCATCAGTGATGTCTGTTTTATTATTATGCTAAACACTGCAATGTATAGGAATTATTGCGTGTACCATATAAACTCAGGATTATCCCACCTTCCAAGTGCCATAAAACTAACTAAGCATATAATTGATGCAATGCTATATGTTGTCATTTAGGACTCATTAGGAGCCCAGAGTCAGGGATTGTTGGAAGTGCTTTGCAATGGTGTCACTGTCCACAGCAACTGGCAAAGCCAAGGGTAACCGTGATGCACTAGGCTTGGATTACCCAGCTTCAGCTTCTGCTCTCTGGTAAGAACGGAACAGCAAGAGGGACTCCTCAAGGGTTACAGAAGGTGGACGTGCCCCTGTGAGCAGGATTGTGTTCCGAGGTTATGTCAGCACAGGCCGGCTTGCCAGAGAAGCCACGACATGGAAACTGGTGTTCCTAGCTCATGGAATTCCTCCCCGACAGACTTCCCAGATGTGCTATTACCTTAGTCGTAACTCCCTGCTGGAGAGTCAGTCAGTCTGATTACGCTTCAGGCCAGAAACAAATGCTTAATATTGGAAGTGAATCTGAGGTGTGACAGAATGACACATGTACTATACACTGTCAATTTCTTCATGTCTTGGAACTGACATGCACGATGAAATGTTCTTGAATTAATCTTAATTTTTCGGCACTATCTGCTGGAGCCTGTGACAGTGCATTTAGTACCACCGCTCCAATGGGGGAATCCAAGTTCTTTGAAATGAAGATTAGTAGTTGGAGGCTACAAATTAAACTCCTTTAAAAGCAATTCATGTAAAAAAAAAAAGTCTCACTTCAGAAAATCCAAGAGAATTTCTGTTAAAATAAGCCGCTTAACAAAAAAACAAGGACTGTTAATTGTATCTCAATGAATTGGATCATGGAGTCAGTTTTGCTCCTGACTTGACTGAAAAGATGAGCCAAAGATACTTCTAGGACGTTCCTTTCAGCCAGGATCTCATGGCTGGGACAGGTTGACAAGGTGCAGGACAAGTACCTGTCAGAGTGGGAGCCACTGACAGAGGTAAGATGTCTCTGAACCCTCCAAAATCCATGGTTGAACTGAGAGCTCTCACACAGGGGCCTGAGGCCGACCAGTGCATCAGAGAGGGCCTCTTTCCAGCCAAAGCCAGGATAAGAGTTGGCCCACACGAGTCTTCTACCTCAGGTGAAATGCCCCAGGGAGTAGGGGAGCAGGGGGATAGGGAACAACCTGACCTGCCCTCATCCCGGAAGGACACGAGCTGAGCTGCCAGCACTAGGCCTCGGCAGTGGGCTCAGGCTGTGGACAGCCTTCTCACTTCCTCTTGCTACCGCCCTCCTTCCAGCCTACTTTCTTTCCCTCTTGCTAGCTTTTGGTGGCTTGCATTTCTTCTGTGTGCTTCCATCTCTGAGTTTAGCAGAGAGCGGTGTTGTAAGCCTTCTGGCACCATCAGAGACAGGGATGGGCCAGAGGACACGGAAAGCAGAAAGCACGCTTGACACTAGAGAGGACAAAGCTGCTGCCTTGCTCAGCAGCCCAGGGCGCGCTGGGCTGGCCGGCCTCCATGCCAGTGCGGACACTGCTGGAGGTGGCTGGCTAGGAGGTGGGAGCTCCCACCCAGCCCAGCCTTCCTGCTTGGTCCTGATCTCAGAAAGGGAAAGCCCCTGCCCCTCTTTCGAAGCAGCAGCCGGCACCACTTGTCTCTTTTCTCCTTCCCGCAGGCACTTCTGTTCAGAGTGCTGCCTCTCGCTGGCTCCTTCTGCTCCTGCTCCGTCCTCCTGCTGATTGGGAAGAAATTGCACCAGTGGGGTGACGGGGGGCTGGAATTCTTAAAGGAGCAGTTTCATTTCTGTGGAAAATGTATTTATCTGGTGTATTATTTTTCTGCCTTTCCCCAATCAATGTAACCTCATGAGAAAGGTAAGCCAGATGTAAAGTGACCATAATCACCATGTAAATGTTCATTGTAGATGTTCTGGTTTCCCTCTAAGGATTTCCAAGCAGATCGAACACTAACCCTAGCAACAATCATTATTAGCAATGCAATCCAATTCACGGATCATTTACTGAGGACATAAAGGTTGGGAGCCATGGATCTAAGTCAGGGAGTCCCTATTGCCTTACAGGCTCGCAGTTTAGGGCTGGAAACTGGAAGTGCATGAATAAGCAGGTACTGAGATAATTTGCAAACCTCTGGTACTATTTTTGTCAATAGCTCTTTTGCCCTACAAGCTTTGACCAGAGAAGCTTGTCAGTAGCCAAATTGAGAGGCCAATTGGAAGCGTGGTCTTCTCTTGGCTGCCCATTGGTTGAGATTTGTGGCAATCACCTTCAATCTTTTGAAGACTTGGTCCCCTGCAGAACTCTGAGATGCAGAATCTTAGTCTTTTTGATGTTGATGGTAGACTTTGTCCTACCAAAAGAAAGTTCTGGACATGAAACCTGAGACATTTCTAGCGCCTAGCCTGAGGCCATTCCACAGGAGCGTGTGGAGCTGTTGGCCCCACAGCACCTCCTGCCATTTAGATCCCCTCAGGGGAAATGCCTGACCTTGAGCAAATGACCAACTCCAGGGGCTTCAGTTTGTTCTGAACAAAAAGTACAGAAAATATATTGGGATGATCTTGAGAGCATGAGATAATATGAAAGATGTTTACAAAAGCAGGAGCGTGTCAGAGGAGCTTGCCCAGCTGGCTGCGGCTTGCTCGCCTTGCAGCAGCAGAGCTCAGGCCAGGCAGGTTAAGCACTTCCTTAGAGGTTCTAGTTTTGGAGTTTCAACACTATACCAACAGTGAACACGAAGGCAAATCAGATGCCTGGGACCACAGAAGGTTTGGGATCCTCAAATGTTAGATGTGATTCAGTCTCTTCCTCGGAATAGTGGCATGACAGCTTTCGCCTCTAGGTCTTTGGCTAAGGGCACCCATGGCTTCTGGCACCTTAAGTGGAGGCTGCAAGAAGAAGCAGGCCCGAGGAAGTCCTGCAGGTGAAGAGACTGGTGCTCCGGTAGCAGGAACGTGGGCTAGTCAGCACACACTCAGAGGCTTCTCCTTTTCCAGATGAGAGGAGGGCACAAAGCTATTGCCAAATGCACATGCTGGCTGTGTGAGGAAGATGGCAGTGGAAGCGAAGGCCACATAAGGGCATTCATTTAGACCTACCTTTGCAGGCCATTGAATCCAGAGAGCTTAACGTGCTTAACTGTTCAGCGCGCAACGCTTCAGCAGCCTGGCACAACTTTGCCACATGCCAGGCAGGCCTCGGTGCACCGGACGCTGGGGCAGGGAGGTCACTGACTTCCTCTTCCACCGTCTTGCCTTGAGGACCGAGCGGTGTTCTGGCCACAGAGGTTTGCTGGGAGCACCTGGGACTGGGGTGTATCCTGGGCAGGAAGTGCATGTTGCTAGACAAGCAGGGTTGGCTCCACTGCCCTCGCAGTATGTACCCTGTTCTCGGGTGCCTAGCAGTGATTCTCAGAGACACAGAGTGGACAGCGGTTCAGACAGGGAGCCTCCACTTCCCAGCCCCCTGTCTGGGGCTCCACAGTCCGTTCTGTGTGTCACTGCAACTGGCCCTGGGGCCAGGGTTCAGCTCCAGGCGCCCAGGTCAGCAGCAGCTCCCAACAGCTGGTTTTTGACAGTGCACCTCGGTGTCTGGTGCACGGGGAGGGGGGGTGGGGTGCCCCGGGACACTAGTGGGCGGGGTGAGCCCCTGCCAGATCCGGAGATGATAACGTGCCTGCTCCATGTCGTGGCTTCGGGCCGCCCAGGCTCCGCCCCCTGTGAGTGTGTAAGTGTGTGATGCTGCCGCGGCCGCAGCCGCCTGTGCAGCCGCCGCCGCCGCCGCTGCGGTCCCCGGCTGCCGCGCCGCGCCGCTCCCCCGCTGCCCCGGGCGGCCCGCAGCCTGCCAGGCGGGCGGCCCCGCCGGCCCGAGCCCGCGGCCGCAGCCTCTGCAGCGTCGGCGCGCCGGACGCGCGGCCACCGCCGGGCGAGCAGCGCTGAGCGTGCGGCCGGGGGCTTGCCCGCCCGGTGCCAGCGCCGCTCCGGAGCGCAGCAGCGGGCACTTGCAGCGTCTGCTGTCGCCGCCTATGCGGCGTGGGCACTTTTAGCCAGGCGGGAGCGCCGGAGCGCCGGAGCAGCGAGCAGGGACGGACGCCCTCACACCGCCGTCGCCGCCCGGCAGCTATGGATCTATTCGACTTTTTCAGGGACTGGGACTTGGAGCAGCAGTGGTAGGTGTTCCTTTTTGCCTTCCCCTTTGATGAGCGGATCCCTTGGCAGGGTCTGGGTTTTGGCCTTTGTTAAGAGGAGCCGGGGCTGTCGCGGGGGCACCCCGCATGCCCTTCGCCCTCGCTGGCCCCGAGCGCCGCGACTCTCTCAGGAGCCGGCGTGAGGGGCCGCGCGGCGGGAGGCAGGGCTGGGGGGCCGAACGCGTCGCCTTTCCCCCCAAGTCTGCGGAGTTGCTTTGGCCCACTCGGATTCCGCCCGCCTAGGGACTGAGACGCGCGACTTCCAGCGGGCGGCTCGCGGGCTTGACCTCCGCGCCCCCGGGACGCCGCCCGCTGGAATTGCCTCAACTTTGCCGGCGCGCCGAGCCCGCGGTCGGCGAAGGGCCAGCGCTGCCCTCTGCTCCTCCGCGGCCGGCGCCACGCCGCGGCCACCTCCATCCCCGCTTGGCGCGGCACGCACACCTTCCCTTCGCAGGCTCAGCCCAAGTTCTCCACATCCCAGTGGCGAGCCGCAGCTTTGGGGGCCGCCGCTCCGCGGACCCCGTTCGAACCAGCTTCGGCACTTCTTTGCGAGACTCGGGCGTTTTTGAAGTTGACCCCCTAGGTCGGGTGCTCAGACGTCGGTTCACGTTTCATTGCCGGCTGGACCAACTCGGACCCCACTGGGAGGCCGCCGGAGATTTTGTGAAATGGGCACGCTAGTTGGATTCAACGGTTTAGTCTGCCCTTCATTAAAAATACCCGAAACCTGTTCCTGAGAAATTTGGAAAAATAATAGCGACGTGCCCGGGGAGCGGCGAAGTTGTTATTGCGCGCGTGACGTGCTGCGCTCGTGGATTAACACGAATACACGGATCTGTGAACTTTTTCAAAACTTTACCTCCCACTGCAAACATCATTGTTTGTCCTAGCGTGTTAGCACGTCGGTTTCCCACAACAATCTAAGGAATTAGGTGGTGGTGGGGGGCGGGGGGGCAGAGAGCACAGCAGTAGCAACTAGACTTGTGCCCTTGGTTACTGGCTTTTCGGATTTAGTTAGAATAATCTAGAGTAACCAGCACCAGTGTGGACTCCTTTGTGATGGTCAGCTACTAACAGCCGTTGCTTCCAGTGCTCTGCAGTTTTACAAGGATTTCCCTTACTGATGAGATGCTTTAGGCAATTTCCTTCTTTAAAAAGGGGTCCTACACTTGGCCGATAGCTTTATTATGCTAATAATGACTCCTTTATTTGCAAATTCAAGATAATCAGAACTTAAATGCACGGTTTTACAGCAATCCTGGGTAAAGTCTTGAAGCCCCTTGTGCTGCATCTGTACTGACCTGTAAAATACATTTTTAAAAATGCCATACGGGATTTCATCCTCTAGTAGGAAAGCATGTTGCATTTTTAAAAATAATCCTGCTGATATTTGAAAGTAAAAATCCAGTGAAATTCCTGTTCAAATAAATGTTCTGCTTCTTCATGCGGCTCCACTCTGCTTCACTGGTCCCGCAGCTGATCAGCAAGGCACTGCACACAGTGTGCCTAGTACTTGGTGTTAGTAACATCATTAATTTAACATCGTTAGGATTGATTTGATGGCTGCAGTTCAACTGTGAAACACAGACCGGGTATCAGTTTTTAGAGCATATTTGTTCTATTAATTCCAGTTTAACCTTATGCACATGAACTTGCATATTCCAAGGACGGGAGCTTTTATATTTGATTTCACTTTTTCAGAAAGATATGCTTTCCCTCCCTTTTAGAAGGCTCTCTTTTCTTATGGAGTATGCAAAAGGTTTGCATTTTCCTCCAGATCCTAACTGTGCCACACCAGGTAGGAAGCACTGCGGAGTGGACACTCCATGGCTGTTAGCTCAGACTGAGCTATCACGATAACACATCTGCGTAAATAAGCCTGCTTTTTTCTCTGTGCTTTCAAACTGTCTCATTCTAAGGCCAAGCCTCCTTAAGCATTTGTGTTTACATACGCCTGTAATGTGCTTGTGTGTCTGTGGTTTGCACAACTCCACAAAGGAAAAGAGCCATACATGTGACAATAGTGTGTGAACTAAAATCCTTGGCACTATCTTGTACATCTCCAAACTCTTTGGACAGAGTGGGCCTACTTCTCCGTTTGCTGTGTGTTTACTTCCCCTTCCTGGGACCAAGTAGGTGCTTATGGTGTCATCTGTGCCCCCTAAAAAAACAGGGAGAGAAGAGGCGCTAGCAAAGTAACGAATCTCATTGACATCGAACCGATTCTTAACATTCACTTGTGGAACAGTCAGCTCTATGCTGTCTCCGTTGCAACCATAGATGTCTGACAATCAGTGGATCTGGACAGATTAAAAATAAACTCGTTTTTCTAGACATAATTTTACATACACAGGTGTATGTGTTGTTTGCGAGCACTTGGCTTTAGTAAATAAAAGTGCATGCCTGCTGATAAATATACATTTGTTAAGATGGACGCAAACGGAGGGGGTGGTGTATGAATGATGCTGCAGTGTGCGTGTGCATGCAATGTCTGGGAGTGCTCACATGCCCACGAGAACACAACGCTAGATTTCACAGACTGCCACGATATCTTAATGGGTCTTGCTCTGGACTCGATTAAAGGGCCAAAGCTCAAGTTCTTTAAGATTCCTGGATGAATGAGCAATGTTCACCTGAGTTTGAATTTAATATGAACCATCCTATGAAAGAAAATGAAAGCACAGATGTCTGTATGCATCAAAGACATCGCTTTTTTAAAAGCAAAAAAAAAAAAAAATTTGAACAAATCAAATGTCATCATTCCCTAGACACATTCTGTAATAACCACGTAAAGAATTCTCGAGGTGCGTGGAGATTGTGTGCTTAGATTTGGAATTGTTTACTAGCAATGGCCAAGTCATTAATCCTCATTTAAGAGAGAAAAATCCGTGAGTCCTACAAGGTATATGACTTTTCATTCCTGCATGCTCCCCTTGGCCCCAGTATTGATTAGGTATTGCTTTGTGATAGACCAAGTTTCTTTGTCAGGATGCTTATTCTGTTATTAAGAAAAGAAGGAAAATAAAGGAAGGAAGGAGGAAAGACACAGAAAGAACAGAATGAAATAAAGCAATGAACAAATTCTTAAAAATACACACACACTCTCAAGAAAATCACTATGATGGCAAAATCAAAATGCGAAAACAACAGTTGACAATTATAATGAAGTGACTGTGACACTGGCTGCCTTCTCACTCTGCAGGATGGCATCAATTGTTTTTAGTTTTTATGCGATGTCTCACAAGTAGCATAATTAGAGGCCAGCTTGCAAATGGGCAGTTATACAGGAAGAGACTTAAACTCACTAAACTGTTACATAAATAGAAAGTTCAAAGGTCTGTGTGGAGCTGTCAAGGCTGAGAAGCAGCCATGTGCCAGCGGCAGCCCCCGGGGCTTGCTCCAGCAGCCCACACTTTCCCAGGTTTTTTTTTTTTTGGGGAGGGGGCTCCCTGCTTTCCAGACAAAAGTGAACTGCTCAGGCCCATGCTCACACGGCCCACGCTCACTGCAGCTCCTGTCTGCCTCTGCCTGCCTGGCGCACACAGGTCGTCTGAGAGCCCTTGTTAGCTGCCGTCCCCTGGAAGAGCTGAGCAGGACTGTTTCTGGCTGCAAAGGGGCGAGAGCTAGAGAAAACACAATGTGCATTTGGCAATCTGGAGATGGCGGCTCTGCCATGGCCAGGGTGTGGGGCACCGGCGGGGACATTCCTGTGTAGGTTTAACATCTCCCAGGGTTTCTCCTTCTCTACCTCAATGTGTTTTATATTCTTCTTCCCTCTGTGGTCCAGTAGCGGGAAACTGCCTATTTGTTTGTTTTTGTTTTGATAGCATAATGCATATTCTCCAGTGTGCTTGAGCATTCATTTAGTAAATCATTTTGGACTGAGTTTACTCAGGGAACGCATGGGGAAGAGAGATAGAAGATGGCGAAATTAGCTGGCGATGAGATATCTCTTTCAAAACTCTGCAAGAAACTACCTCAGGAAATCTTCAAAGGCACGTTTATTGGGCAAAGAAGAAAATTGTCTCCTGTTAGAAATCAGTTTAATAATACATGAATTGTTTTGCTAATGATTCAGTCGGGCATTTAACAACTTTCAAATATACAAATCAAATTGAAAATGACTACCTCAGAAATGAATTTATCATTACAAACATAAACGAGATTCCAAACATTTAAGCATTTTGTAGATGGATAAAATTATATTGTATTTAAACCTGCTAATTATCATGGAATAGAAATGGTTTTAATGTGCTCAACCCTTATTTCATGTGCATTATTCTTAAGAGTACGTCCTGCATGCAGAAACTGTGCATATATAGCATGATTCTGAAATTGTAGGAGGCCAATGAAATGGCCATCTCTGGAGCAATCTGGAGGCTGTACCCCTCAAAGCTTATAACAGTAGGTCATATCTCAAAGAAGGCAAAATGATATACTTGGTTGGCCTGTTATGTAAACAGAACAATTGCTACAGCAATTACATTCTGCACTTTTAATTTTGACTTTGTTTTACTGATTGCTGTAGGATCAGGCAAGGGAGATAATAAAAGCTTGTTTGCCGGAGCAGGCATTTAGCCTAATGGCTAAGACTCCAGCTGAAATGCCCAAGCCCCATACTGAAGGAGCTGTGTTTAAAACCTGGTTCTAGTTGCTGACTCCAGGTTCCTGGCAAAAGTACCACTGCCTCCAGCCAGACAGAGACTCAGCTGGTGTCGCTGCCCCCTGGCTTTGGTCTGGCACAGCCCTAGCTCCATCCATTGCAGCCATTACTTGGGAGTGAACCAGCAGATGGGAGCAGTCTCCTGAACACCAAGTAAATAAGTAATTTTGAAAGTTTGTTTTCTGATGATAGGCAGTAATAAATTGCTGGTTAAAGAGCTCAAGTCTGCTTCTGGGGGTCCATTTGGAGGAGCGTGTGTGTGTGTGTGTGTGTGTGTGTGTGACCTATGGGAGAAATCATCTTCTTACTACTACAATTT